CTTAAATCTGTAGCTTTGCATGAAAAAAAAGTTTATTTTATTTAAATAAAAGAATTTGGAGAGATATAAGTAAATATTAGTACTCACATAAATTAGTACTCACAGAAAAAAATATATAAATAGATCCGTTAAATTTTTTTCTCTGATAAACTTTTATTATTTCTTAGACATTTTCTCTCTCAATGTACTTGAGTCGAAATTTTAACGCTACTTCGACTCTTTTAAGAATAGATTGCGCTTATTTTGATGGTCCATGTGGACTGATAAAAACCTCTTTTTATAATAAACTCGTTCTCTCCTCTCTTGCACTATTAATTCTACAGTTTTAATTTTTGTGGTACCTTGAATTTTTTCGATCTTTCGTTTATTAAACTCATATGAGTGTTGAAAATAATCCATTTTGACATTTGTACTAAAAAATAGATACTGATTATACGAAGATATTTAAAATATAAGGAAAATTGAGAATAAATGATAACTTCTCTCGAAATGTCTCCGATAAGAAATTAATTTGAAATTATTTTGTTTTTGCTCTAAAATTCTACAACGTAAATTCAACCAGAAATAACTCTCTCTCTTTCTATATATATATATATATATAATACTTTTAGTATATTTCAATATAAAACCGAATTAACTACTACTTCTTTCAGTATTAAGACGAATGTCATGCTGACACTTTGATTGAGAGATGAGGCGCTGTTGAGATATTTATCTGTGTGATGCCGATGCCGCACGTGCCGATGATATAATCGATTCGATCAATCATGCGTGATTTAGACTATTTAAGAGAGTCAACGACTTCTCTTAATTACCGATCGTTTAATCGATTGGAGGAGCACCGACATCCCGATAATAATTATTGTATATAAATTTAATTATTGTATATAATATTAATTATACTTGAACCCAATCGCGTCGGCCGATAATTCTAATTAGAAATTAACAAGACGTGCTTCAGTTTCAGTTTAAGTGTGAGCGGAAAATTCTCGTCGAGCTTTCCACGAACTTTTAATGCATCTTCTCTTCGTGCTTTATTATTCGTGAATTTTTCAAATAGCATATTTATATAAGCACACCGACAACCTGGCTTTATCCGGATTCTTTCCGGGGATATCGATTTAAGCATGTTGATCGTTCGCAAGAAAATTTTCCGCACGGAAAAAAAATTAAGTATCAATTCAAGACTTGATATATTCTAACGGACACAATCATTGTTTCATATATAAGAAAAAATATATTATCTTCTTACAAAAATTTAATATTCTAGAATTTTAACAACATCATAATATTGTGGCAAGGTTATGATAGTCCACTATAGATCATAATTTGATTATTCTGAAGATAATAAATCTTGTTGTAACATTTAAAATTATTATATCAAAAAGATGAATGTGTGATTTTGAATAATTTTGAATAATTCTGAATGAAATGTACGGTAATCTTTACAGATCTTCTCAAAATAAGAATATTTTTTTTCCGTGGAAAAAGAAGGAACTACATGTTTCCACCGTTCATCACGTGACATCATGCTGATTTGAGCAAAGTGGTAGGATTTCACATGCGGTTTTGATGGCTTCCGCATCACCGGGAAAAGTGTTTCACATCTGAGATGCTTTTTATCTACAAATCTCCACAATCTCCTCAGTCTATTTTCGCGCCGGGGAAGACTCGATTTGAGATTTTTAATGGGAACAGCTTTGATGATCGATGTGGTATATAGAAGGTTTTCGGGTCACTGATTACGAATCTGGAGTCGAAATTGAAAAATTAGAAAATTTGAAATGTTGAATATAAAATAATGTATCAAACATGCAAAAATGTCTTTGGCTTTCAAAGTTTCCGAGCACAAATTATGAAATGCGATATTGCGAAAACAAATTAGAGGGTTTAAAATGATATAATCTATAGAATAGACAAAATCTTATATCATATTTGAAATGATTCGATTGATTCGTTGCAATTCCTTCATATTGGACCCGCCGTTTTAGATTTAAAAAATTTTCCAATTTTGACTTCAGATTCGTGGTCAGCGACCCCAAAAATCCTCGGCTACCAAATTTCATGAAAAATTAGCGGGAGGAAAAATATATGCTTCAAAGGGTTAAAGCGACGGGAACTAATTGAAACGACGTCTTGCATACCTTCTGCGAAATGAACTCTATCAAACAGATTTAGACGTGTTGATACGACGGGAATCGTTCGAGTTCAATCATGTTACGATTCGTGATCAAGTGTGAATCTACGTCGCTTTAAATATCGCTCGGGCTAATTTCGAGCGATGTCCCTTCGAACTACGATCGTATCTCGATCCCCGGTATGTGTCTCGAAATGCGAAGGCACGGAATGCCATCGGAAAAATCGACGACAGTCTTTATCTGTCTCTATATCATACTTGCTATCATCTTAGGTGAAAGATATGGGAACTCACATCAGGTTAAATGAAAATCGCATTAAATTGCATACGTTAATACAATCCCTATAAGCGCGTAATATTCCTAAAATATTATATGAATATTAATCAGTTAACCCTTAATGTTCCGTTGACTCCGCTACTGAGACATTCGTCACTTGTCCCGTAACTCAATAATATGCCTCCAGTTATTGCTTTTTGAGGAAATCATTTAAGTGGTGGCGCAAACTGTTTTTCTGGGAAATGGAGATATCTATCATAAATTCATACATTCTCTATGAAATTGTACAACACAATAAAAATGAAAAATCACTGACGTATTTATAATATCAAAAAAACGCGCGGAGTGCAAAAGGTTAAAGTAATATTTCTATAATATTTTAAGAATGTTATGTAATATTTTTTAATATTATAGGAATGTTCTATCGATGTTATATGTCCACTTCACATAATATTCTTAGCATATTATAAAAATGTTCTTAGAATATTTAAAAAAAATAAAATAATAATAATACAGAAAAATATATATAAATAAAATATATATATATATAATTTTTTAAATATAAAACGTATTTTTACACAAAATTATTTCGGTTTTACTTATATAATAAAACAATTGATATTGCAATATATTTGAAATAAAAAACAACAATTATATATATTATATACATACATAGAGTGAATATTTAAAAAAATATACAATATTACAATAATATTAAATAATATTACTAGAATATTATTAGAATATTACGTATAATATTCTGAGAATATGCCCAGAATACTACATAATATTAAATAATATTACGCGCTTATAGGGTTAATTCCACCGTCTGAGCGTATCCTCATCCGCGCGCACCGTTCCGTCCGTTCTTATTGCACGCATCTATCAGTCTCGCATCTCGTTGTGTTTCAGACATTCGTGCGGGACGATGTCGACGGCGCAGGCCGGCAAAGTGGACGAGCAGGTTTCCGCGTGCAAGCCGAAGCAACTGAACGGCCGCGGCTGCAACAAGAGTGAGGAGCTACAGCTCGAGGACATTAACGACAACAACAATGACGAGGTGAGACAGAGAGAGAGAGAGAGAGAGAGAACCTACCTGTCGCGTTTGAGCGAACGGATATAGCACGTATTGTAGGTGTGTTAAAATGCAAAACTGCAAAAAGTCGCGTCACATCGCTGTCTTGATAGAGCTTGACTTGGTCAGTATATATTCGCTCGTTGAAACAACTCGGGTGGCTCGTGCAGAAACGTGATATCGCCTCTTATTTGCGACGCGTAATGGACCGATAGGCGTTGTTGTCTCTCGCTCTCTCTGGTGGGTCATCCACAGAGGCGGACACGTGTTCCGCGCTCAATTTTTGTTCTCCCTTATCAATTTTGCCTCTCGGAATCAAACGCCTCCGCGCGGGAACGATAATAAATAAAACTGGCCTGATTCTACGGATGCTGATTTCTACGACATATGTCAACGACTACGATGACGCATGTCGCTTTCGCAAATAAAATGGGACTTTCGGACGGCATCGCCATTCCAAGCGTTTTCAACGTCACGAACAACGTTGCGGACAGCGTGTTTTCCTCGTCGACGACGACTTGCCACTTGCGAAAATGCAGCCGGTTGATTTCCTGAGTCACGGGACGAGTTTGTGTTTACATTCGGGCGTCGAAATGGATAAACTTTCGTGCCAGCATCGTGTCGCCGTAATTAATCGATTCGGGCCATTGAAAGAGGACCGCTTCCATGAAGTAACGTTACTTACCGATGATATTTTCTCCCTCTTTTTCGTTATTTTTTAAACAAGTTCGACGATAGTAATCGCAACGTGACACCGTTACTTCGATTTCTTTTCCTTGGAATATCACCGGCTGAAAATGTCGCTTGGAGCGGACAAATTTTTACCGTCGTCGACGATTCGGCGTCCGCGGCGGATTGATAACTCACGAAGTTTCGGGTCACGCGAAGCCGATCGAAATACCAAAGAGGCGACTCTCCGAGAGCGGCCTTGACCTTAGCCACCTTGTGAATTTCCATCCGAGCGAACGAGTTGATGTCGAAATATCGGCGGAGAGCCGCCGCGAATTAAACGACCTCGTGTCGCAAACTGGTCTCATACATTACAGACATCATATATAGTAGAGTTGGGCGATATAGTATCTACACAATATCGATAAAGTATTGATACGTAGGGAAATAGGGTTCTCCCCGGAAAAATAAGGTTTTCCTCCACAAATTGCGGGGGAAAACCCTATTTTTCCGGGAGAAGTTCTTATTTCCCTATGTATCGATGCTGTATCACCTAACTCTAATATATAGTGTTTTTCCGACGAGCGAAAAAGTAGCTTATACGCGATGATCATCACCCCGTGGAATTTATTGATAGTCGAGCACCGCGAGAAAAGCTTTCAAACTTTGCAGCTACCCCCGAGCGACGTTGTGAGCTACTCGTTTCATGCTCGATGATCGCACACGAATTTTCATTCACTGGTGCGAGCTTTCGAATCTTTGCGAACAGAATGTTGGCGAGAATAGCGTAGTTGCTGCCGAACGCAATTACGAGGAAAATCATTTCAGCATAATCCTATGTGAAAAAGTTAATATCAAATTAAGATTCATATGCTCGTGTATAAACAAGAATATACAGTACCCCAATAAATCTTGGTTCTCGTGGTGTGCAAATAGAACGGGTGAAACTGAGCAGAAAAGTCCCATTTTGCAAATAACACACAAAATTTCAAGTTATCAATGATTGAAAATGGCCATGTATAGAGACTTCTTTAATTAATAATTCAATAATTTGCGTGTTATTTGCAGAACGGTGAAAGATTTTTTTGTTCCGAATAATCTAATCTACGAGTATATGACAACTGTTGTACTTAACGACATTTTTTCAAGTTCGAAGGTTCAAGGGTCAAAGTTCAATATACTGATGTCTGTCGTTAAGTACAACAATTGTCATATATTTGTAGATTAGGCTACTCTGAACAAAACAAATGTTCTTTACCATTTTGCAAATAACACGCAAATTATTGAGCTATTAATTAAAAGAGCCTCTATAAATTTTCAATCGTTTATAACTCGAAATTTTGCAAAATGTGTTATTTGCAAAATGATATAGGACTTTTTTATTCAGAGTTGTACACCCTCACGAAGCGGGGGTATTTGGCTCTGAGACATTCTGTATATAAGAATATTAGTATTGAGTTGATAGTCTAGATAGGATTGTTGATTTTCTACATTAGAAAATCATGAAATGTTTCTTTTTTTTAATTTTCCAACACAAATCTCTGTTCTTCGCGCAGCGATCTACGTTGCCTCCTTAAATTACCGCTAATACATTCCTGGATAATAATAGCTGTTAGTTTATCAGTAATACAAGCTTATCTTCAGATAACGCGTATCGGTGCGTTCGCTAATTTTAACGCTTTTGGTTTCATATCTGTTCAAACAGAGACCTCGTTTTCTTTCAATCAAGCATACATCGGTTGCACAAATTTCCATACTAATTAGACACGACCGGCCTTTAACTTCCATTAACGCGCTCGCCTGTATAAATCCGATGACCGAGTCGGCGAGTTCTCTTTGATTTCGTGTTTCTCTGAGAATTGGATCACGGCAAATTCCGATTTGTCAAGTCGCGTGCGATCATTAGTTGGCAGTATTTTTTTCACAAAATATCTCTCGTGCATTTTTATCTTCCCCCTTAAAAAGCTTCAAAACAAATAAAAGTGCCGAACATTTTTAAACAGAAATTTCACACGAACAATGGGAACAAATCACGAAATTTATGTTGTTATCTTAGCTTCTATTTTGTTGTAGAATTAACCATTTGACCAAAACGTTTTATTTCTCGATGGGATTTTTTGAAATGTGGTATCTAAGTATTGTTGGGGTTGCTAATTATGAATCTGAAGTCAGAGTTTTAAAATTCAATATAGTCGATCCAATATGGCGGACCAATGATTGAAAAATATTGATTTCTCGACAAAATCTTTTCATATTTGGAATATAAGTTTTTCCTTATATATTAACAACAAAAGAAGTCGACATTCAAATAGCGGATTATTAGGTAAGAATAGCGACCCTAAATTTTCAAAATTATTAATCTCGTTTTTAACATTACCCGAAAATAACGACGAGGACGTAACAAATAACTATTTCAACGTTTTTTTATATATTTATATTTATTGTACACCGAAGTAAGTTAGCACCTCGCTTTATTTTAGTTAGTTTTTATCAAATTTGTTAAGATGGAGGAGGAGAATAAATTTACCAAAAGGAATAAAATTAAAGATATTATCAGTATTTCAATCATTTATTGTAAAAAATTGAGCCTACGAAAAATTCTGTAAAAAATTGATAAGATACTGTTAAGTGTCCTTAATAAACTGATAATATTGTAATGTGTCGATTCCTAATAGTTTGTTACGAATGAATTGTTTCGTATCATTTTCTAATTTAAATTCTTTGCCTTGGCGAGAAACATTAGATTGTTTATGTTTGTTGTCTACTGCCTCTCGCATTGTTCGACTCCTTCGAGAACATTCTCGAAGTTTGTTATTGTTGACTATCGCTACCTTTATAATCGACTCTCGATAGCGCAGTTGGTTTTTGACTTTCAACGAAGCTAGACTATACGATTACATACAAGACATCGCTCGCAATTGATCCTTTCTAAATAAACCAATAAAAACAATAAAGAGTTCGTTAATCGGCGCCTGTAACCATCATCCTCGCAACCAGGAAATTAAGCTAGAGGTTTTACCTCGTTTGCGTCACTCGTGGACTTCCCGAGGCTACACGCAAAATCATCAACATGAATTTTTCTGAAAAAAATGTCTGTTTTTAATTTTCATTTGTTTCTAGCAAGTTAACAATTAAACATTTAAACTATATGATATTTATTATTACTTCCTTATGCTTTTGAAAATATATAGTAATAATATAGTCGATTATGACTGCCTAGAAGTTAGTTAAAATCACTAAAACTGAAGAAAATGTTGATGGGACAACGTATGTCCCACTATGACGCAAAGGCTTAACGAAATTTCAATTCGGGCGTTTTGTTCCCGCAGCGGTGAAGAATACATCGGATTCACTCTGCAGCTTCCGAGTGAAAATATTTACGACGATTTAGAACGAAGGATTCTTTCTATACGAGCATAAAGTCACACGATAATCACTTTATTTCTCAAGTGAGAAATTTCACTGCACGAAATTTAGAGTTGTAATTTTGTTGGGCTCGCAGGCCATCGAAGTGGAGATGGTGGTACCACCCGACGGAGGATGGGGATGGGTGATCGTAGCGGCCTCTTTCATGTGCAACCTCTTCGTGGATGGTATCATCTTCAGCTTCGGCGTTTTCCTGAACGACATCGCGAACGCGTTCGCCGTGTCGAAGGCGAGAGTCGCGCTAGTTGGCTCGTTGCAGACCGGATTTTACCTCATGGCTGGTTAGTAGCTCGACACGTATGTAACAATGACCAACGACAAATTTATATTAACGCTTAGAAGCATGGTGGGAAGTATATTTCCTACCTTTCTTCTTTCAGATTCATGCCGATAAGGTTTTCATTGCTATACTTGGACTGTTTATTTTTTTCTTTATTTTTCTAGTATCTTAGGGATAGGTGAATATAAAGAAATCGTCAAAATACACATTTTGTCAACTTGCAAAAGTGTTATAAATAATCAAATGAAGAAAAGTGCTTGTTTCTTCAGAGAAAATACATTTTCCAACGACTTTTCCCAAATTTAGGTGTTAAAATTTATGTATAGGGTTTCTTGAGGTCGCTGATTACGAATCTGGGGTTGAAGTTAAAAAATTACAAAATTCGAAATGTTGAATACAAAATAGTGAATGAAACATGCAAAAACTCGATGTCTGCAGCTTTCAAAGTTTCCGAGCACAAATTATGAAATGCGATATTGCGAAAACGAATTAGAGGGATTGAAATGATATAATCTACAACATAGACAAAATCTTATATCACATTTGAAATGATTCGATTGATTCGCTGCAATTCCTCCATATTGGATCCGCCGTTTTAGATTTAAAAAATTTTCTAATTTTGACTTCAGATTCGTGGTCAGCGACCCCAAAAACCTCCGGCTACCAAATTCGATGAACAATAAGCTGGATGAAAAATGTGTGTTTCAAAAAGTTAGATCTGAAGGCGCCGGTTGCAATCTCGAATCTCTCGCTACGCACAAAAAATATACGTATCTTCTACAAGTAAATGTTACTTGTTTCAAATATTTCACAGGTTTACACATCCGCAAATATATTACAAGTTCATTTTAAGCATGAAATTTGTTCAACATATATTCCGAATCCTAATAAGTTTAGTACTTCGATCGGAAATATTAAATTAAAACAAAAATCGGAATGTTTATTCAAATTAATTAAATTCTACTCTTTTTCGATAAAATTTTATAATATTCTTGAAGAGGCAGAACAAATCCTTCTTTTTCGAGTTTACATGACCTTTTCTAAAATTTACGACAAGCGTATTTTAAGACTGTTCTTAAGAAAATATTCTTTGTTGAGGACAACTATTATTTAAGAGAAGAAAAGGAAACTATGTGATCGCTTTTCTTGGCGATAGAATGATATTCTGATGATGATTTTTCTATGTGTAATTGTAAAAGTCGCGCGCGACACGTTCTTTCCAAAAAATGGAAAAAAATTAATGCTCGAGAAAAATTGGCGCGACACACGACGGCGCTTGGAATTATTCCGCAACGGTACGTTCGACATTCCGAGCGAGTGCGTTTCCTCAGCGGCGTTAATACTGTCAGATGTTTGCCGAATTTGCATAACGACACGCGCGTGTCGGGGCGCGACTGTGTTTGATCACGGTGTGCCGGCGCTACGTAATAGCGATGTAAATGCGGCATAATGAATAATCGATACAAACAACAAAGGTTGTGTGTATCTCGTATCACCGATCCCCACCAGATTTGTTCTTAGAGGCAGAAGCGTGAATATCCTCTATAAGCGCGTAATATTATGCAATATTAAATAATATTCTTGGCATATTCTTAGAATATTAGACGTAATATTCTAATGATATTCTAGTAATACTATTAAATATTATTAAATATTAAGTAATATTTCTGGAATATTAACAGATGGTTATATGTCGCTTCTAATAATATAAAAAAATAATATTATTTAATATTATTGTAATATTATATATTTTTTTTTAAATATTCCACTCTCTATATATATATAATATATGTAATTGTAGTTTCTTATTTCAAATGTATTGTAGTACCAATTGTTTTATTATATAAATAAAGTTGGAAAAATTTTGTATAAAAATACGTTTTATACTGAACAAATTATACATATATACATATACATATATATATATTCCTATATTAATATTTTTTTTTTATATTCTAAGAACATTTTTATAATATGCCAAGAATATTATGTGAAAGTGGACATATAATATTAATAGAACATTCCTATAATATTGAATAATATTCATATAATATTCTAGGAATATTACGCGCTTATAGAAATATAGTGAGGTGAGAGTGGCTGGGGGAGGGGGGTGAGGCGCGACAGCAGGTGTCGTCAATCAGAAATTGAATTCTCTTTCGTGTGATTGGAGTGCTTATTTTAAAATTAGAATACGGTTCCCAGAGTGCTCTGCCCTACGATACAACGCGGGTGCGTCGTATTGACGCAATATAGTTTTTGTGGAAGATCCCCGAAATACACGATAAAGCGATAACCGTGTTTCTGCTGAATGTTGCCGCAGCTGATAAGGCTGTTTGTAAAAAATGTTACGGTACAATACTCGCTTTCGTCATGTGCTTGGGATTTTTCCGATATTTGTAAAGCATCTCGATAAAAATTCAACGCGTTAAGCGCGTTAAAATTAACACACTCGCGTTTAATTAACTCGCGATCGGTGATTCCGGAGAAGGGAATTTTCGCTGCTGGGCGGAAAGCCTGGGAACTATAATGACTGCCGGAGTGCTCGCGGCGCTCGATCTAATACCGATCGACGCGTGGCTTTTAATCGCCGCGATTCCGAATTCACGAAGATACCGGTAATTATCGGTGATTTGAACGGGTGCGCTGCATTGAGTTAATCATGCGATAATGTGCACGAATGTAAGATTCGAAAGGGAGCAGACAGCGACAGTTCGCAAGTAGAAAATAACTGCTGGTTGAGTACCAATTTTTAGTGAGTAATAGGGAGAAGGTGGTACAGGGTATCCGTAAATAAAAATTACGAGCTGTTTTAGCATTACCTAGGATGCACCACGTGGAGGTACAGCTAGCGGGACGAACTGTGGGAGTTCGAATCTCTGCCAAGAGATGCTAAGGGCTTCACGTGGTGCATCCTGGGTAGTGCTAAAGCAGCCTGTAATTTTTACTTGATTTCAGTTATGTTATAAAACTCATATACTAACCATCCTTTTTTTAATTTTGATAAAAAATTCGAAACAGCAATTTCAAGTTACAACATAAAAATGGCGATAACTCGAAAACAACGCATTTCTAGACGTGTTCTTGTCAACTTTTTTCTTTATTTTTGGATCCCCCATCACTCCTGAGCGATTGACCTTGACTTTCGGGACATCCTGTATATGATCTTTGAAAATATAATAGTTCCTTTTAATGTTTTCGCTATTAAATCGTAAGTTTTAATAATTACACGGAAAATAGTACTATGGTTGCTGCAACAACATTCTCTCTATGGTTATAAAAGAAATATATTAAATACGTAAATGAAATAAAATCAAACAGAGATTTGTGAAAATTTGCTGTTGACATATGCCCATCTATATAATTGTCGCAACCATAGTTCTTATGCTATGTAATAGATATCCCTATAAGCGCGCAATGTTGCTAGACTATTATTTTAATATTACTCAATATTAAAATAATAGTAATATAGAAAAATATAAGTAAATAAATAAATAAATAAATATATATATATATATATATATATATATCTCTCTCTCTCTCTCTCTCTCTCTCTCTCTGTTTGATACAAATCTCTGTTTGATTTTATTTATAAAGTTGAAATAATTTTGCGTAAAAATACGTTTTGTATTACGTTTTATATTATATATATATATATATAATATAAAACG